CCGCGCTAAAGGTCCCTAAGATCCCTTTAGCAAAGACTATACGACGCCGCCTATAATCCTCCGTATAATAATAATAGGAAGATATCCTAAGAACGCTTCCGGATAATATAAAGATCTTAATTACGCTCGATTACTAGACCTCGCCTTTTAAATAGGTATTTATAGCTATAACTAGCTACTTTATCAATAAGGACTAGTAATACCGTAAGGTTCTTCTCGGTTTCGAACCGCTTTATAGATTACACTCTAGGGCTAACTTAAGTGCTATACTCCTCGATATTCTTCTTATATATAAGATTAAAGATCGGGTCTTCGCTATTATAACCGATAATATATTAAATAACTAAATATTAGTTAATATATTATAGTAAGTAATATTAGAGGACACTACCCTTATTTTGGTTCTATACCTTACTTATTTGATTTAGCTAAGTCTAAATTAGCTTCTTAGGTATATTAAGGCTTACCCGTAGAATGAATTAATAGAGATACGGTAGACAGAGTAGCTATCCTAGTTAGCGCGTTCGAATATAACTAAGTAAGATATTACTAATACACTATCTAAGGTATATACCTATATAACGTAGCGTTTATTTTCTTACACTAATCACTACCTCTAGATTCGAAACCTTACTATCTATATAAATATAAGCCCTTAACGCCGAGAGACCTTCTATAATCTATAAGGCGAAACTATAAAGCTAATGCCACTCTAAGACGTTAAGACACGCTAGAATTCCACGTTCCTAATACTTCGACGTGTAAAGCGCCTACGATCGTTCTTCTAGCTATTCTATAATAAGGATAAGCGGCCTAATATAGTCCTCGATAATAAAGAATAGCGCTAGGTTAACTACCTTCTCTTTATCACCTAACCCTTCTTTGATTTCATAGTTAAACTATCAAAAACGCGGGATGCGACTACACATTATATTTTTCTGATTTATAATAAGCTTTTTAAGTACCTTAAGCTATTAATCACCTAGCTTACGCGGAAGAGAACTACCTAGAAGCGACAGATGCTTTAGGCGTTATAAGCTACTCGAAAGAAGCTTAATGAGTACTACTCTAAGATAGATAACGTACGAGGGTATCTTTACGTAATTACCACTATGCTTACTCTAGCGAATAAGTTCTAGTTCTTTTAAACAGATGATTAGGATGATCGTTAGCGTACGATATACCGGAAGTCTCTCGAGAACCACCTAATTATATATAAAGAACGTGTTAGCATGTATGGTAGATACATACTGAATTGAAATGCATCTGAATGGCAAATACGGGGCTTTCCCTTTGTGCGGTCGAGATACGACCAAGGACCCACTTTTCTTACCCCTCATTAGATGACTTGACCTCCTCGTCGGACGACGAGATCGATTAGATTGATCCTTAACGATCTTACATATAATTATATACACTTACATGCAATGGCCTACCTAGGTAGGAGACTACTTAACACTCTAAGGATGTTCCTTCTATTTTATTTATCATTCTGCCGTGTACCCCGCGATATAAGTATCACCATGTTTTCTAACTAAATGGAAAAAAGTGGGATATCTCTTCATGATATGAGAACTGCTCTCGAGCATACTTAATATAACCCTTCTTCTTTATTAATTAAGCTGACTATATACCTTCTTATAAACCGTCTCTCTTTAATCCTATCTTTTGTATACCTCTTTATTGTGTGTGTGTATTAGACCTTTCTACCTATTTTCTGCCGAAGACCCTTTCTATCGGGAAACACCACTTCTAAAGAAAACCTACCTCCTATTCCTAATAGTTATGAGCACGAGCCTCTAACTACTCACTTATTTTATCTGATCTATCACTTTACTCTTATAAGCGATAGATTCGACCGAACTACGAGCTATATAGCTACACTACCCACTTAAAAGCCACGTATACTAGGTACCCTAGATCACTACTATTAAGGACTATATAGTAGCTAATAGTATATAGAAATATATAGATCCCGACCGGGAGACTCCTACGGCTACGCCACCGGAGCTTATTAAGCCACTTCTATCTGATACTATTAAGAAAGAACCTAATATATTCATATTAGATAAACCACGACTCGTTAACCTTATATTAGATTAATTAGCTATCTATAAGATATTGCTAAGCGAGTATAAATTAATAAGATTAGACTATCTTCGCTATCTTCGAGTTATTAAATCTCTTAAGTAAGGTATTCGTTCCTCTCTCATACTAGAAGGAAGATAGATTATTAATAGGTTATCTACGTATAAAGCTATTATTAAGCTAAAAGTAACCTTTGTCTTATCTGACTAATCGAAGAATCGTTAAATCCTACGTAACTAGGATACGATAAAACGCTAAAGCCTCCCTACTACCTATATAGGGCTAAAAGTGGATTATTATCTAAGTAGAAGGCGAGAGGGTAGGGATTACCTACTTCTAAGAACCTACCTTACTAGTATACGATTTCCTAGAGGTAATTTATCCTAGCGACTAAGGATTCTATACCTTCTAGTATAATATAATCCTATAGGGTTTAAAGTAACCTACCCTAATAGAGCTAGTTAACTAGTTCGTTAACTAATACCGACCGGCTATCGTGTCTAGTAAGCGACTAATTATATATTCGACCTTCTAAGGCTATTAACTAGATAAAGGACTAGATAAAGAACTACCTACTTAGGAACCTTCGAATATACTAAACTAGCCTAACCGAAATAGGAAGTGCCCTTATAGAGGTGCCCCTAACGATAGTAACCACGACTTTAAGAAGTACCGATACGTTAATCTAAAGGCTAGACTAAAGGGGTGGTAGCTAGACGAGAAGATTAAAGAACTATTTAAAAAGCGATGTGAATCCTCGCTAGGTTTTAAATCTACCTACTAGCGTGCTCTTAAGCGATTTTAACTAAACGATTAATAATCTAATAACTAATCGGATAACTAATTAACTATAGAAAGAAATACCTTAGACGCTTTTACTACCTATATACCGAAGTAGTAAGTAGAAGCTCTCTTTCGAGAAGAAGATAGTGTTACGATAAGTACTATCCGGATTAATGCTAAGAAAAACGACACCTAGTGCTATAATACTAGAGCCTCTATTTATATCACGAATAATAGAAACCTACTATAAAACTATAGATCTATAATATCTTCTGTTATAGTTAGAAATACCGAAACTATAATCCTTAGCTACGGAGAGCTCCGAGTTAAACTAATAATCTCTCTTAACGGCACCACTTTCCCTCTAAAATAAGTTACTTATTACCCTAGATTCTATATTAACCTAATCTCTGTAGAGAGAGCTACTAACGTAGGAATCTATCTAAATAGTAAGAACTATACGCTAGAAGATCGAGATAGGACGCCTATCTATAAACTTAATACGAAATTAGGTATCTACCTTATTCGATAGGACGATTTAATAACTAACTAACTAACTACTAATTATACTATTATCTTACTAACCTCTTAATCTTCTCTTACTAACGAATTTAGTAAGATAGCCCTATCGTCGTATACTAAGAAATAACTAGATAGGACGGTTAACTAATAGTACCGAAGACTAGGCTACGTTAGTAAGGATATCCTATCTAATCTACCTAACTATATATTAAACGTGACCGTTAAAGATATATCTTCGCTAATTAGCCACTATAAGATATATAAACTAGCTAACTTATTACGTTAAATCTCTCGATTACCTATATATTATAACCGATCTTTCGAATCTCTGTATTAGGACCTAATTCACTTTAACCTATCACTAGCTAAAACGACCTATCTATCCTATTCTATTAATCCCGTCACTAAATACTAACTGATAGAGGACCTTCCTTATAAGACCGATTCGGAATAATCTATCTACGATTAGATCGATTTTATTAAGAAGTAATTCGACCTATACGTCCTAATAATCCACTCGGACGAAGAGAAGTCTCTATCTGATTTCTTTACTAATAAGGCTAAATCACGTAGAATTAACTTAGAAACCACACTACCCTACTAACCGGACTAAAACGGCTATACCGAACGATACGGCGTATTAATTTTAAAAATAGCTAGGTAAATGACTATCGATTCAGGCCTACTAATCTATCTCTAGTATGAAGCAGCTAAAACAGCCGTCTATATACAAAACCGGATACCATATAGATCAATTGACTGGTAATCTCCACACGAAGCCCTTTCAACCTATCTTAGTGATAAAGCACCGCACTGGCTATAGGCTAAACTAGACCTCTCTAACCTACGAATCTTTAGATGTAAAGCTTACGTACGTATTAATAAGCTACCTAAATTAGCTAAGCTGGCGCTACGCGCGGCTATTAGCTATCTAGTAGGCTATGAAGTATATAATATCTAGCGTATATGGGTTCCTACTAGACGCCGGGTAATTCGTGCACGCGATGTCTAATTTAATGAGGAAGAATTCTATAACCCTTCGTCGGCTAATTAACATATACGAATATATGATGACGCTAATCTATCATATTAAATTATTATTCTTAACGAAGAAGAAACCTCTCGAATCCTCGAGGATATCGATATTCTATACGCTATTGATTAATAAGATTCGATAGAACTACCGGTGTAGCAAGATCTAGGGGGTGGAGGTAATACTATAACGTATTAGATAAGCGAGCGGGCCACCTAGGCGAGCGGGCCACCCCATCTAAAATCGCGTCTTCCCACTAACCCACCAACTTTAACAACCTACCATGCCACCAATTCGCTCTGAATATACGCAGAAACTAGCCAAACAAGAGGGTAAGATCTTATTAGCTTTATCTGATTTATAAGAAGGTCGTATCTAATCAGTTCGCGCGGCAGCTAAGCTATACGATATACCTCGCTCTACTCTGCAGAAGCGCGCTGATGGCCGGCTATCACGCGTTGACACACCACTAAATAGGCGGAAGCTTACTTAATTAGAAGAGGATTCGCTTGTTGAATGGATATTCTCTATAGATAAGCGTGGAGTAGCGCCTAGAAAGGATACTATACGCGAGATGGCCGATATCCTACTAGCTGCGCGCGGTAGCCACCCTCCGCCTACCGTTGGCGTGAAATGGGTAGATAATCTTATTAATCGTCGCCCTGACCTTCGCATACGCGCATTAATTCGATACGACTACCAACGCGCGTTGAATGAAGATCCTAAGCTTCTGCGAGAGTGGTTTCTTACTGTTCAACGCGTTATCGATGAGAACGGTATACAACCGGAGGATATCTATAACTGTGATGAGACTGGCTTTGCAATGGGTCTTATATCTAAGCAAAAGGTAGTGACCCGGGCAGAAATGTATGGTAATAGCCGTCGCCTTCTTCAACCAGGAAATCGCGAATGGGTTACTGCGATCGAGGCAATTGGCGCTGATGGCTATTCGCTTCCGCTATGCGTGATTTTTAAAGCTAAGGTTGCCATCGCTGGTTAGTTTGAAAAGCTTCTAAAAGATTGGCGAATCGAGGTCTCTACTAACGGCTGGACTAGTGATAAGATTAGCCTACGTTGGCTACAAAAGCTCTTTATCCCATTAACGAATTCGCGCGTACGCGGCCGATTTCGGCTATTGATCCTTGATGGTCATGGTAGCCATCTCACACCTCAATTCGATCGAATCTGCACAGAAAACGACATTATACCTCTTTGTATGCCTGCGTATGCGTCACATCTATTATAGCCACTAGATGTTGGCTGTTTTGTAGTGGTTAAAAAGGTATACGGTCGCTTTATAAGCGATCTTGCCCGTTAAGGATATAACTATATCGATAAAATCGATTTCTTAGAGGACTACTAACGCGCGCGGCTAGAGGCCTTCTAAAAACCATTAACTATTCAAAATAGCTTCGCAGCCACTGGCCTAGTACTAATCGATGTAGAAAGGGTCCTTTTAAAGCTGAATATCTCTCTGCGAACGCCTACGCCACCAAATAGCCGGCTAAGCAGTAGATCTAGCTAATTCACACCAAAAACGCCTAGGACCGTCACCTAGCTATTCAAGTAAGCTTCTTTATTAAAAGATCTATTAGATTAGCGGTCGCAAAGCCCTCTAAGCCCAATCAAAACCGTGGTGGATCAGATAATTAAGGGTGGCTATCTAGCTTTATATAGCGCTGCTCTACTTAGCCAGGAGAACGCCAATCTACGCGTAGCTAATAAGAAGAAGCGCCAGAAACGCCAGCGGTTAACTAGGTAGATACCCTACGAAGAGGGCCTATCTGTTAAAGAGGCTATATAGCTAGTTAAGCAGCTAAATCAGCTAGTGGAAGGTGATAGGGTAGGATCGCATGAGTAGGGCGAATTACCTAATTAGGTAATTCAACCACGACCTAGGGCGCCGCCTAGGTGTAGTGGGTGTGGGCAGATTAGCCACAAAATCAATCGATGTATTAATCTTTAGTATTAGAAAATTCAATGCGTTTTGGTAGAGATATTCGATTTTGAAATTTCCTAATGGGGGTGGGTGGCCCGCTCGCCTGGGTGGCCCGCTCGCTTATCTAATACGTTAGCTAATATCGATTATGTAATACCTCAAAACGCCGAAAACGAGTCCGATACTCGAGATTTAGACGAAATCCTTAGTGATTAACTAATCACACTACCGCTCGATCCAAAATTAGATGATTTAGACGACTCAATAAGCGAATCTAATTAACTAGAGCTAGAGGACAACACACCATTCGTCCTAATTAATAACACTAACTTCGACCCTTCCGGCTATAAACCACTTAACTTACCCATTAAGCGCACACGATCCGATTCTGATAGTAGCCGAGAGGATAATAAGCGCCTATATCTTAACCTTACTACCTATATTTAGGCTTTCTCAACCTATTAGGCTAAATAACTAAAGCCTTTAATATCTTTAATTCCACTAGCTCCTTCTGGCTATAACTAACTAGCTGGCTATCTCTTCGAAAACCAATTTCGCTAGGCTATATAGGTTAAATTTAACAAACTCCTCGATATATATGCGATCGAACCTACTAACGCGGAATTCGTTAAACACTCCTATAAGACTAATTGCTAGGCTATTAGCTAATTAGATTGCCTACGTCACTAACTTATATAAATAAGATAGGTATACGCCTATAAATCTAACGAATTAGGCTATCTTATACGATTTAAAGCGCGCTTATACGTGCGAGGAGATATATAGATCCTTAATAACTAAGATACACGAACTAGCACCCTCGCGGCTAGGACCTTCCGTACGCTTATAGCGATTACCACCGAATTCGACCTCGAGACCTTTTAGATAGATACCGTTAACGCCTTCCTAAATAGTGAACTAAAAGAAGAAGTATACTACTAATACCTACCGGGTATAAGACGAAACTTAATAGTCCTACGCCTATATAGAGTAGTATACGGCCTACGAATCGCTAGTAAGAGATAGGAAGATAACGTTAAAGAGATGCTTCTCTCACTTAGTTTTAAACTATATCCTAATGACCTCGCCCTTTATACTAATAATCGTATAGTTATTATGATCTTTGTTAACGACTTTCTCGCTGTATACCATAAAATTAAGACCTTATATACTTAATAGATTAAGAAATACCTTACGGAGCGATATAAGATAAGGGACTATAGCGAACTTAACTAATTTATCGGAATTCGAATCGTGCGAGATAGGAAACGCCGAAAAACCTAGATTAGCTAAGTAGCTTATACTAAGAAAATCGCTACTAAATACTACCTTCTAGATAGGAAACCACTAAAAACACTACTCCTTTCTAACTATAAGCTCGATCCTAACCTAATTAGACTAATTAATCCTAAGAACGTTAAATAATACTAGTTAAAATATGGATTAATCCTCTTTCCTTCTATTTAGACTAGACTAGATACTACCTTCGCTAACTAATTACTAGCCTAATCGCTAACTAGATATAACGAAACATACCTAAAAGCTATAGATTATCTTATCTACTATTTAAATAGGACTAAAGATTTAGCTATCTATTTTGGTAGTAGCTAATTAAATAGTTAGATCTTTATAGCCGTATTAGACGCGAGTTTTGCCGATAACCATAATCGGAAGAGCTCTAAAGGTTTTATCTTCTTATTATTTAGTGGCCTAATTAAGTAGAAGTCTCGTAAGTAGAAGACTATCACTATATCTATAATAGAAGCTGAATTACTAGCTATTAGCTACGCAGCTAAATAGCTTTACTAGATTAAACGCCTATTCTCCTTTATCTAATTTAACACGGAATAAGCCGAGACGTTAAATTATAATAATAAGTAGACTATTAACCTACTAAAACGAGAGAAATTAGTATTCTAGACGAAACTACGGTATATAGATATTAACTAACTATAGATTCTGACAGATCCTAGTGTATCGGGGGCTGATCCACATAGGACGAAAGGGGACTAGGTAGTAGCTTCCTCTTGGTTATAGGATCCTACTATCTAGGAAAGGAAAGAATATCTTAAGAATAATAAAGTCGATTGAACTGCTAGCTAAATAGTGGTGTAAACGAGCGTTTAAATACACGATTTGCAGTGGTTTAGGCAGTAAGGAAATAGGGCAGAGATCTAATAATCTGATAGATCTTAATGTAGGATAGAAATGTGTAGAAAGGACGTCGGGATCCTTAGTTAAATAGCTAATTAGGCCATGGTCGATATCTCTGTTAAAGAGATGCATATAGAGGGGCTTTCTGTAGGGGAAAAACAATAGTCCGGCCCGGCAGGCTGCCGGGCCCTTAGGTAATACATAAGTATATATACATAAGTATATACCCCTACACACCTATATAGGCTGACACACCCCCTTAGGTCTTTAGATCGGAGGACTAATGAGCTAGAGATAAAAGCAACTATATAAGGTCGTGTGGTAAGTACTCTATACCTATCTGTCTCACAAAGATCTTATGTTTCTGGCGGCTAAGTAGCTTAGTCAGGCCATTAGTAGGTAGGTCGGACGAATTTAGCTATTTAATACGTAGGCGTTTCGCCTAAACTTCCTAGCGAATCTATAACTAATGAATATCTATATATCGAAGCTTGGTCTAGAAGATAGATCTCTCTCTAGTTAGGAGGTCAATCGTCTACTTATTATCGTATTATATTATATCCTAGTGGCTAGGGTCGAATCGGATGAATTTAAATAAGCGTCTCATCTAATAGGATTACTTAGCCGCGTGGCTAAGCGTAAGTAATTTAGCTTCTGTGGTCGATATGGTGATAGTCTTTTGTTTCCTAGCCTTCTAATCGATAGGGCCACCAAATAGGCAAAAGAGAAAACCTTTAGAGCTTTTACGGTCAGTATTATTAGCAAAGCTAGCGTCTGAGCAGGCGGTATATACAGTTATCTCTTTCTAGCCATCAAAATAGATTGCTAGGTCTTTCGTCCTATAGAGATATAAGATTAGGTAGTTAACGGCCTCGAGATAGCGGTCAGTATAGCGTGTGAGCGAGCGAGTAAGCAATTAGTTAGTAAAGGTAGTCTCTGGCCTAGTCTAAATTACTAGGTAGAGCGTTAAGCCACACTTCTGCTAGTATAGGTTGACCAACCTAGGATTCGGAGGATATTCGGTAGGATAGAGAATACCGGAAAGGTCAGATAGTAAGGGCGTGGCTAGAGGTTTCCTAGCTAGAAGGTTGAACTTACTAGCAATCTTCTCTATATAGGCACCTTAGCTCAGCTAGGTCTTTCGAGATGGTCGGTGACGTATAATTCGAATTCCTACGAATTAGCTAAGTTCACTAATATACTTTATCTCGAACTTCTCCTCGAGAGATTGTCGAATATAGTTAGCATGGTCGGTTTAGGATATATGGTATATAGCCAGGAAATCATCAACGAACACCATCATAATAACGTGGCCATTAGTATATAGGGTAGGATCCTCTAGGTAAGGGCGGAGGCTAATAGTAGAAAGTACCTTTCTAATATCCCCTTCCTATTTCTTACTAGAGATCCTTAGACTATATACTACACGTTTTAATCTTAACACCTTACTAGTTGACCCTAGGCCTAGTGGATACCGGCAGAAAACGTCCTAGTCTAATTAGCTATTTAGGAAAGCGTTCACAGCATCCATCTAAAAGGTCTCGAGGTCGAATTTAGTCATTAGGGCTATAAGCGTGCGGAAGGTCCTCGCGGTAAGCGTACTAGTCCTAGCGTCCTAGAAATTAGGTGATTACTAGTCGCCTCGTACACACAATCTAGCTTTAAAGCGCGTAAGATTGCCTAATTCGTTAGATTTATAGTCAAAAACCTATCTTATCGGTATAAATTGGTGTTTTAGGTAGTGTTTCTAGCTAATTTAATGGCCACAGTCTCTTATATAAGCTTAATTGACTAGATCGGCAGAGATCGGTTCAAAGGCGTATATATTAAGAAGCTTATTAAATTTAACCTATATAGCCTATTTAAACTCGCGTTAGTAGGGGTGGTCTCGTAGATAGCTATAATTA